TGGCTATCCAATTAAAACAACCCAGGTTAAAACCAATTACAAATTAAAATTGAAGGGATGGGATCAAGCCAGCCCGGCTAGGTGAAAAAGATGTGTTTTCAGGGCCCGACGAAAAGTCCGGAGGTCTGGTATCGTGCGTATCTCTGGGGGCAGGTCGTTCCAGAGGGCAGGTGCCGCCACAGAGAAGGCTCTCCCCCTGGGGGTCGCCAGCCGACATTGTCTGCTGGCGACCCTTAGATTTACCCTAAGAACTAAATTACAAGATACAGGTAGTCTTTGACTTACGACCAGTCACTTAGTGATCATTTGAAGTTTTGACAGACTTTGACAGATCAGCACTTACAACCCAGATTCGAAGTTCCAATGGTTCTCTCCGCCATGGTCATATGACTGTACTTTGGGCATTCAGCAAGTGAGCCAGCTGTTCGTGACCATATTTTATGACAGTTTTGCCCAAAACTAGTATTTACTTCCAGTTTTCAGCAACAGCTGCCCATAGCAAACCATGGGTGCACTTAACAACCACAACATTCACTTAACAACTGATGCAGAAAAGGCCATAAAATTGTCACGAGTTATATCTGATGGGCAGGCTTCATTACGGATGTAACGCGAGGATTACCTCTAAGAAAGCTTATTTAGCTTTATTTGTAACTAAAACGTCCTAACTGGATTAATCAGGGGTACATTTCGTTTTTGTTTTTGTTTAACTGTAATTAAGAACTATATTCCATCCCTTGTCATTGGGACAGTGCAATGTTTCTTTAAGAGAGTTAGAGAGAGGTGTTATATGTATGCTCTGAACCTTTTGGAAAGCGAATCTAACAAGCTGTGCACACTAGTGTGCATACATATAAAATAGCAAACAAGGATGTAAACAGGCCGTCCGATGCAGCATCTTGTTTCCTAAAAATGCTGTCTATTCTTTCTTAGGCTACACTTTGCAGAGACCGGGGGGTGGATGGGGAGGTTTGCAAAAGATAAAACCAGCATTATGCTGCAGCATCTCTTTTTGTACATGTGTTGTGACATTGCACGCATGTACAAAAGGAGTGGAGCTGGCTTTGTAGCTGAGCAGCTCTGCTGTCCTCACTTTGACAAGGCCATCAGACTTGTGGATGCTCAAGCTTTAATCTTCGAAAAGTTATGCATCCCTACTGTAGGCAAAACAATCTCCTTTAATCTCATGGCTTCCAGATTTGTTAGATTTTTAACTTCTATCTTCACCCAGCAACAGAGCTGCTCTTCCTGTCTGTATGCACCACATACTTGCTTTCGGTGTGGGGTTGAAATATTAGAGAGCACTACAGGAATCCCTTGGATATATTTATTATTCTTTGATTTAAAAGCCAGTGATTTAATTTCATCCTGCATTCCTTTTCAGCTACAATTTAATTACATGTCAGTTTGTGCCATCTGCCAGACTGCATCATTTCATTAGCATTTTTTTCAGGTATTTCCCAGACCAATGAATCTTTGCAGAACTTGCATATTGAGGAAGCAAAAATCCACACTTTGGAAAAAAATGTGTCTATAACGAAATGTATATTCAAAGTAGCAACATGTAAAAACAAGATTTCTTTGCAGTGGAAGGGGAAAAAAACCCACAAAATTACATAGAATTTTGATAGAATGAAGTAACATCTGAAGGTACATGACATGCAGTAAATGGATATCGGTTACCCGTACCTTCATTAATATTTAATTTCAATGAAACCAGATGAGTTACAATTTGTTCAGTTGCTTTCCCTTGCATTTTCCGCAGGTAGCCAAATATGCTAGTGAGACATTGCTGTTTCTAATAGTAATTTTATTAAAAATTGCATTTAGAAGGATAAAAACTAATACGATTTTTTAAAAAAAGTATATAAAGTGCAGAAAACAAAAATATAAAAATAAGAATATAGTAAAGAAAAAGAAATGAAATATATAGAGAGAGAAAAATGGCTTCCCCATTCATCACAATTATAAACAGTTGGTAACTTGCAGCAAATGTTAGTAAATGCAGCAAATTCCCACAGCCCATCTTTTATCTATAAACAAATCCTTAAAGCATCATCATTTCAGTATCCATTAAGGGTTACCAGAGCTAACATGTCTATTTTAACCTTGATCTAACAAGCCAACTTTATATTCCTTCCTTTTAATTTAACAATCTCAATCTTCTTTCAAATAAGATCCTAAGAACTTGATTTCTTTTCATTTTCTTCTTGTCCTTTCTCACAGAAAGCTTTAACAAGTCTCTTTTGTAAATCTAATATAGGGAAATTATCTGGGTCACTCACTTGATTTACTATTTGTATAACCCTTTTAATTATTAAGCATTTTCCTACAGGAAGCATTCTTTGAATTAATTCCAATTTTTTTTCCCCAAATCCATCTGGACCCTTAGTCTGTTTGCAGCTTTCCAAAATCAAAGTTCACCCTTTTGCTGTATATTCCCCACCCGAATCTACTGTACAGAAATCCATACTCCAAGCTAACCTCCCTAGGTCTCAATCTTATGTTTATTATAGGATTTGCCTGGAAGACCCCTGATTAAATTAGTCTAAGGATTGATTGCTTAGTTTGAATTCCCTCTTTAGAAGTTACTACCACCTCTCTAGGGTGGATTTTGTCTTCGAGTTGATGATCAGTAAAAATAAGCAACACTGCTCAGTTATTACATGTGAGAGAAAAAGGGTGAAAACATCTTCTTCCAGAGGTGGGTTTCAGGAGGTTCTAACCAGTTCTGGAGAACCGGTAGCAAAAATTTTGAGTAGTTCAGAGAACTGGTAAATACTATCTCTGGCTGGTTCCGCCGCCATCTATTCTCTGCCTCCCAAGTCCCAGCTGATCAGGAGGAAATGGCTATTTTGTAGTAACCTTCCTCTGGAGTGGGGAGGGCATGGAGATTTTACAGTATCCTTCCCCTGGAGTAGGGTGGGAATGGAGATTTTTACAGTATCCTTCCCCTGCCACGCCCACCAAGCCAAGCCACGCCCACCAAGCCACACCCACAGACCCAATAGTAAAAAAATTTGAAACCCACCACTGTTCTCTTCCCAACTGTTCACATTGTGGAATACTGTATATTTTAGTTGCAGATAGTTAAGTGCTCAATCTAGCAAAATTTTGTCTATAGGTGAAACAATAAAGAATTCAGCTTAGAAAAATCACCATGTGCAATTCTTGGTTTTGGACCTGACATCAAGGTTGTGTTTATTTTTTTATTTTATTTTATTTCGAATTTATATACCGCACCTTCTCCCGAGGGACTCAGGGCGGTGTACAGCCAGATAAAAACATACAATACAAACATTAAAAACAATTAAAAGGATATATATTAATTTGGCCCCAATTTAAGATAACAAACCAATTAAAAAATATTTAAAAATATGTTAAACCAGCCCGGCTTGCTGAAAAAAGAAAGTTTTAAGGGCACAGCGGAAGGCACCGAGGTCTTGGATTCTCCTTATCTCTGGGGGCAGCTGATTCCAGAGGGTAGGTGCCCCCACAGAGAAAGCCCTCTCCCTGGGGGTCACCAGCCTACATTGTTTGGCTGAGGGCACCCCGAGGAGGCCCTCTCTGTGGGAGCGCACAGGTCGGTGTTGCCTCTTGTCTCATCCCCCTCCTTGGAATGTGCTCCCACCTTCCTTGGAAATTGCCACTTCTTTGTAGTCCATCACACCATCTTCCCCCCCCCCACGGGCACCATCCCTCACACATAATTGCCTGAGTAGCCATTTACATGTTAGCCAATATGATACAGTAGTTAGAGAGTTGGATTGGGCAGCCATTCCTTTCAGCCCAATCTCTCTAACAAGGTGGTTATTATGAGGAATAAATGAGGGTGTGTCCAGGATCACCTCTCTTAATTATTTAAAAGAGCAGTAAGATATTGATTCAAGAAATACATAATTGAATGAATAATAAATGAATATGAATCAAAGAATTAAAACAGGAACCCCATTACCAGAAAAGAATGGACAATATTTGTGAAGAATAGTCACATGTGAAATGCTAAAGGTAGAATTAATTGCTATAGCTAAAATTGAAATATAATAGAATTGATCACAGTAAGGCAGATATATATTCTGTGCCTTCACAAAGCCCCATTCATTCATTCATTCATTCATTCATTCATTCAACATATATGCTGTCCTTCTCGCCTAGAGGCAACTCTAGACAGCTTACAATCATAAAAACAAGATAAAACCTTAAAACATTACACAAGTAGTCCTTGACATATGATAGGAATTGAGCCCAGAATGATGTTCGTATGTTGTGGTGGTCATTAAGTGAGCCACCACATAAACACACTCAATTTTATTACCTATTTGTGGCAGTCATTAAGCAAGGACCATTGTTTTCTTCAATAGGCTTTTTTTTTTTTGCTGGAAACTTAAAGTAAATGCCTGAAACCGGCAAAATACCTCCAAAATCACAGTCATATGACTACAAAATACTACAAATAGCTACAAATGTGAGCCACTTAACAAGCATCCCAAATTTGATCATATAACTGTAGCAGTGGTGAAATCCAAATTTTTTTACTACCGGTTCTGTGGGCGTGGCTTGGTGGGCATGGCAGGGGAAGGATACTGCAAAATCCCCATTCCCTTTCCACTCCTGGGGCCAGCCAGAGGTGGTATTTGCCGGTTCTCCGAACTACTCAAAATTTCCACTACCAGTTCTCCAGAACTTGTCAGAACCTGCTGGATTTCACCCCTGAACTGTAGGGTATATATGTCTACAGTCATTTGAACTCCAGAATTGGGTTATAAGTAGCTCTGAAGAGGTCAATCATAACCTTAAACAGTCATTAAGCGACTGGTTGTTAAGGAAGGACTACCTTTATGGGTATAATTGGTAAGGAATTCCAGGGTTCTCGTTCCTCCCAAACCTTTGAAGAAGGACCAGACAAAGAGGACATTGATGGTGAAGGTCATTCCTCTGCAAAGAAAGTGAAATTTCTAAGATGTGTGACTAACTTTCCCCTTGTGCATCCTTTGTGTTAGGAGTGGCTGCCTTGGACAGTAAAGCATCAGGGAAAATGGGTCTCCGAGCAGTGGTGTATTACATGAGCACCACAATTATAGCTGTCCTGATTGGGATAATCATGGTAGTCATCATCCATCCTGGGAAAGGGTCAAAGGAAAAAATGCACAGAGAAGGCAAGATTGTCCGAGTGACAGCTGCAGATGCCTTTCTGGACTTAATCAGGTAAGCGGCATTTTTCTGCATCTTGGCTCCTTCGATTGTGTTAGATTACAGCCCTCTTATTGCAACGTGGTTAGTGTGAATTGTACGAGGGCCATCCTGGAGGAAAGCTGTTAACTAAATCAAAAAAGATGCATCATGTGTGATAATGTAAAGCTAAGGAAATGAGTGATGTGATGGAGCACCAAGGTGGCATCCTCAGCTTGGAAATAATAGCAATAGCAATAGCACTTAGACTTATATACCGCTTTACAGTGCTTTACAGCCCTCTCTAAGTGGTTTCCAGAGTCAGCATATTTCCCCCAACAATCTGGCTCCTCATTTTACCCACCTCGGAAGGATGGAAGGCTGAGTCAACCTTGAGCCTGGTGAGATTCGATCTGCCAAACTGCCGGCAGCCGGCAGTCAGCAGAAGTAGCCTGCAGTACTGCACTCTTAACCACTGTGCCACCGCAGCTCAATAATTCTGAAACATAGTCCAAAAATAGCCTTATAGCCACAGTTCATGGTTGAACAATCTTTTGTGGCTGGGGGCAGTACTTTACATTTTTGGAAAACTGGAGAACCACCGTTTGCAAAAGCTTTGCACGCTTATACAAAGTATAGCTCACCATCAAGCTGAGCAAGACTGGGTGAATTTATTTGTTTTCTTGTTAGTCTCTCATTCTGATGTAAATGAGGGCCGTTACCGATTCCTATATCTTAGGTGTCATTCCAATTTCATTGGGGATGGTTGACATTGGGAATACAAGTCAACATTCAGAGAGACACTATCTTAAAAATCAGAACATTGGTGTTCTTATTTATTATACTGCTTATTATATTCTGAACGAAGGAAAAACTTCACCGAATATGTGTGATGGTGAGAGATTTAACTGGTGAGAGAAATTTCAATTACATGAGCATAGCATAATTTGAGTCAGGGTATGCAAATAATTTGAGGAACCACTTTGCTTACAAAGAAGCAAATCTGATTTTGAAGCAGTGAAGCAGCTGAGACTATTAGCTGGCAAGGGACTCAAAGCTCTTCCATTGTTTTCTGGGCCTGCCTGTACATGGCCAGAAGACACTTCTACTGACCCAAGTTTTTACTACCAGCAACCAAATTATCCAAGCCATAAAATGTGGATTTGGATTGTACGTTGTGTATAAAGGAATATTGAAAAAAATAAAGTTCTTGAGTGAGATCCTGATAGGATGACAAATTATGGCTAATAGGTAAATACTAATTTTTTTCTTCTTTACAGGAACATGTTTCCTCCAAATCTTGTAGAAGCCTGCTTCAAACAGGTAAAAAAAATTGAATCCCTTCTTACGTATATGTGGGTATATTACATGTCCAGATTTAATTGGGATTACACAAAGACCAAGTTTATAATGCAGGGAATTGTTATTCGTTGTCTTCCAGGGAGAAGCACTTACAGCTTCTATAAGATAAGATTCCAAAAGGTTATATTATCTGGACCTATGACCCAACCAGGATTAGGTTTTCCAGTTGCTCTTCTGCACAGATCTCTGACTTATCAAAAGTATAAAAATACTCCTATGGTTATTGCTGATGTTCCACCAACCATAGATGCAGAGAAGACAAGTGCTTCATTATTATTAAAAGTACAGCATAATATGTAGAAGCCAGCAGTGTTTAGATTAGAGATTAACCTATTGCAAATTTTTTAATTTCACAACGTATAGACAGATTTAACCATTGTTTCAATTGGGAACATGTGACCTTCCTAGACCAAGCCAAGTCCAAAACTGGTGGGGAATTTCTAGCAGCCTGGCACTCTGACAAATTAGTCATCAATAGACACATAGACATTAACAACATCTATAGACTATGCAAAAAAGACAATCAACCAACCAACCAAAAAGGGAACAAAAAGATCCAAGCACCACTCCACCAGCAATCAGCACCCAGATCAGCATAGATTAACTCCAAGGTTAATATCAGACCAACAATCAACTAAACAACACCCCAATCAAAAAACTGCCAAAGAAGCTGACAGTAAACAGCCCAACCAAAGAATCTCTTAAGATGACACCCAACAATACTAACAGGGCAAGCCACTAGAATATAAACTGACAGCAAACTGCACTCCTTACTTAACACTGATGATGTTACCTAGTTTGGGTAATGAAAGATCTTCAAGAAAACAAGCAAGCTAAGAGAGCACCAAGGACCCCCCCCCCCTATTTAGATTATTTCTGTCTTCATCCAGGGAGGGCAGACAAATCTTTTGATAATTGCATTTGAGCAGTTAGAAATAAGGCTTCCAGAATTCCTAACACATGAATGTAATATTTGTCCTTCTAACCATCATTAACAGTTCAAAACAAACTATGAAGAGCGTGTTCATCATACACATGATCATTCCAACGAAACGTCGGTCCTTGCTGGCATTATAAATAATGTAACAGAAGCTGTGGAAAACCTAACTCAGATGAAGAAGGAGATGATCCCTGTACCAGGGGCTGTAAATGGAGTGAATGCACTTGGATTGGTTGTCTTCTCCATTAGTTTTGGATTAGTGATTGGCAATATGAAGGAACAAGGTCGGGCAATGAGAGACTTCTTCGACAGCCTTAATGAGGCTATCATGCGACTGGTAGCTCTAATAATGTGGTAAGTATTAAATTGACTGTGCTATTATTACCTGTTTTGGATCCCTCACACCTCTTTACTTTGAGGTCTAAGCTGAACTTCCTTCTTGGTTGCTGTAACAGTTTCTGAGATGAAAATTCAAGGAGATGGATACAGATATAGTTGCAGGAACTGGGTATGTCTAGTTTAATGAAAAGAAGGACTAGGGGAGACATGATAGCAGTGTTCCAATATCTCAGGGGCTGCCATAAAGAAGTGGGAGTCAAACTATTCTCCAAAGCACCTGAGGGTAGGACAAGAAGCAATGGGTGGAAACTAATCAAGGAAAGAAGCAACTTAGAACTAAGGAGAAATTTCCTGACAGTGAGAACAATTAATCAGTGGAACAACTTGCCTCCAGAAGTTGTGAATGCTCCAACACTGGAAGTTTTTAAGAAGATGTTGGATAACCATTTGTCTGAAGTGGTAAAGAGTTTCCTGCCTAGGCAGGGGGTTGGACTAGAAGACCTCCAAGGTCCCTTCCAACTCTGTTATTCTATTCTATTCTATTCTAAAAGATCAGACATTAGGAAGAACGTCTTGACAGTAACAACCATCAATCAGTGGAATAAGTTACTGAGTGGAGCGGTTTCTTCTTCACTGGAGGTTTTCAAACAAAGGCTATAGACATTTGTGGTGATGCAATGAATCTTGAGAGCCATTTTGGTGTAGTGTTTGAGGTACCAGGCTAGAAACTGGGAGATCATGAATTGTAGTCCTGCTTTGAGCACAAAGTCAGTTGAGTGGTCTTGGGGTGGTCAGTCCTAAGAAGGAAGCAATGGCAGATCACCTCTGAAAAGCCTTGCCCAAAAATCTGCAGGGACTTGTCCAGGCAGTCTCCAAGAACAGGGCACAATTGAATGGAAGAAAAAGAAGTGTCCTCCAATGTGCAGGGAAATGGACTTGATTGCCTCTTCCCGTTCTGTGATCATAGGGGATCCACAGTGAAGTGAAAGGATGATCCAGGAATCAACTCAGAGTCCTTTTTCCAGGAATTACTGAATTCCGATCTGGTGGATTATCTAGTGAAATAGATATTCTCATTCCTCAGCAATAACTTCTGACCTCTTCCTCCAGATTTTGAACAAAAAGAAGCTGGAAATGAGTCTGAGTCACTTTAACTGCAATTCATCTAATGAGGGGTGGGAACCTGTGACATTTCAGTTGTTGCTAAACACAAACTTTCAGTTGTCCTAAGAACTATATAAAGGATTCTGGGACATACAGTATAATTTAGCAAAATTATGAATATACTTGCCCACTTCCAAAACTGAATTTACTCCCGGCCATATTGGGAACACTGAAGAAAATCTGAGCCCAACAGAACTTTCTACTTAATCAGAACTGTATTGGTTCTTTATTAATTACTTTTTATGTATCATGACAGGGCTATCACTTTACATGATATTGTATTAAAAGCCTGAGAGTCTGATGGTCTGTATTTTAAGACTGGTAGATAATGGAGAAAGGGAAGAGAAAATTATTCAGGGAGAAGGAGGAAGAAGAGTGTACAATATTGCAGTGACGCCTACTTAAGCAAAGTTATAGAATAACAGCCTTCCTGTACTTAGTGTCTTAATTTTATTTATTTAATTTGTATAAAATATTGGTGCAGCCACACATCTTAAACTAAATTCTGGGCAGTATACAATCACGAATAAAACCATAAAAACAAAAAACAGTAAACCAATAAGAAGTATTTATTTATTATTTATTTATTATTTAGACTTATATGCCGTCCTATCTCCAAAAGGACTCAGGGTGGCTCACAACAATAAAACACACAAAGTTCAATTTTTTAAAATACCCAATAAAACTATAAAAACCATTAAAATCCCCTCTAAAACCCCTTCAGTCCAAGCCAGCCAGGCGGAATAGCCATGTTTTAAGGTCACGGCGGAAAGAGAGAAGGTCAGGGGCCACCCGGAGCCCCAGGGGGAGCTGATTCCACAGGGTAGGTGCGCACACAGAGAAGGCCCGCTCCCTAGGGGTCGCCAGCCGACATTGTCTGGCGACGGCACCCCAAGGAGTCTTGGATGATTTCCTAGACTTCCCTGATTAGCATGATTACGCTGACTAAGAATTCTGGGATTTGAATTCCAAACAATCAGGAGGACTCTAGATGGGGAAAAGTGTAAGTATGAACTCAGTTTGGATGAGTGATTTGTAGGGAAGAAATAAAGAACCTTCACACAATTGTTTCAAAAGCAATTATAACAGCAGTAAGGGGGGAAAAAATAGGGATTCTTAGGAGAATAGGAATATGTGATGGTCTCTATTGGAAAATAAGAACCAGAAGCTAAAATAAATTCTGGATTTAAAAAAATCAGTATCACTAACAAACTGGCTAGTTCCTATATTTGGGCAGAGTTAGTTTAATTCAGCAGTGTATTCATAGACTGAATTACAGCCATTCTATACAAGCTCTTGCATAACTGGCTTCAGAATTCATTATTGCACCAAAGTAATATTTTACCCAACTAGAATGTGATTAATTTATTTTTTTTACAAAAAAAATTTTTTGAGAATAAACTACACCATCCATGATTAAAGTCTGTCCATAATGAATTGGTATCTTCATATTCTCCTTTGTTTGCCACTAATTTGCAGAATTCATTTAAAAAATAAATTCTATTGTGTTCCCTTTTGGTTCATAGACTGCTTTTCATCCAAAGGATCTCCAGATATTATAATATACAAGAATATACTGGGGACAATATATTTAGGGTCACAATCTCTGTATATATAGAGAGTGCAGCAAGGAATTTCCAAGTGCAGGAGAATAAAGATACATTACACAAAAGTAGATTTATAGGATACGTACAAAGCAATGCATTTATCTTTCTCTCTGTCTCTTTCTCTCTCTTTCTCTTTGTCTTTCTTTTTTTCCAGGTATGCACCACTTGGCATTTTGTTTTTAATTGCTGGGAAAATAGTTGAGATGGAAGATATGGGTGTGATTGGAGGCCAGCTTGCCATGTATACAGTTACTGTTATCATTGGTTTACTCATCCATGCAATTATTGTTCTCCCACTTCTCTACTTCTTCATTACTCGGAAAAATCCTTGGCTCTTTATTGGAGGATTATTGCAAGCTCTCATCACAGCTTTGGGAACTTCCTCAAGGTAGGCTTTCACAATCAAATAGCTTGGGATACAGGAATTTTTACTGGGTATATACTGCCTGTACATATGCATGACCCAAGAATAATAGGTCCTAAAATAAAACACCCACACACCCAAATTGGGTTCAGTTTATCTACAGATGTCTATGGAGATTCTCAGTCATCCAGGTCATGGTTGTCCCAAAGGTGTTTTTTCAAGAGCCAACTGGACTTCCTGGTTTTTTCTTTGAAGACGTTTTGCGAAACGTCTTCAAAGAAAAACTAGAAATTCCAGTTTATTTATTTATTTATTTAGTGGTTCGATTTATATGCCGCCCTTCTCCGGAGACTCAGGGTAGTTTACAATGCGTTAAGCAATAGCCTTCATACTTTTGTATATATCTGCTTAGTAGGGCTTTCGGGGCCCCCAAACGGTGTTCTTTTTTATACAAAATCAGATTATTGTCCCCACAATCCGGGTCCTCATTTTCCCTACCTTGAAAGGATGGAAGGCTGAATCAACCTTGAGCCTGGTGAGATTTGAACTTGCAGTAATTGCAGGCAGCTGGTGCTACTTAATAGCACTTTAGTTTGCTGCGCCACCAAGGCTCTTATACAGTTGCCTCTTGAAAAAGCACCTTTGGGACTTACCTACAGATGTAATACTTTTTTAAAATGCTGTGTATTCCATATATACTAGAGTGTAAGCCCGTCTGCCTGTAAGCAGATTTTTAACGTTTTAACTAAAATACCATGTGCCACCCATATATAGGCTGACCCTCAAAATTTTCAGTTTTCACAACTAACTATGGATAGCAACATTTTTCATAGTATTTTGGTTAAAAACTTGAGAGCTTATCCCTGGATAGGCTAGTCCATGAGCATATACAGATGTTTTTATTGCAAAAGATTGAGAGAAGATGTGATTATTCCAGATTTCTGTCATTATCCCAGGTTTCTGTCACTCTTCAACTCTACTTTAGGTTTTACTTTACACCTAACATGTTGTTCCAATATGTGTGTAGCGACATTCATTTGCATCTATGTACTATTCAGAGTACAATATAAGATTTTGATGCACATCATATTCTTTGGCTATATATTCCAATAAATGTTTTAATTGGACATCTCTTTTACATTAATTATTCTTAATCCTGAAAATTAATATCTGAAACTGCTTTGCATTGAGAGATATCTTTTAGTCTAGTGCTGTCTCCAAGTTACACAGACATCAGTGAAATGAAAGGCATTGAAAATGTGTAGGCACCACACCTGATTTACCTGTACTGTATGGTCTTTCTATAATATACATCTAGGAAACCAAATTCTGAGTGCAGATTCCTTCAAATTTGGAGAATTGTCTGAAGATTAACTACATGAATAAATTATTTCTCATTGTATATACATTCATATATACATACATGGAACGGAACGGAGTAGAGTAGAGTAGAGTAGAGTAGAGTAGAATAGAATAGAATAGAATAGAATAGAATAGAATAGAATAGAATAGAATAGAATAGAATAGAATAGAATAGAATTTTTTATTGGCCAAGTGTGATTGGACACACCAGGAATTTGTCTTGGTGCATATGCTCTCAGTGTACATAAAATAAAAGGTACGTTCATCAAGAATCATAAGGTACAACACTTAATGATAGTCATAGGGTAGAAATAAGCAATCAGGAAACAATATCAATATAAATCGTAAGGATACAAGCAACAAAGTTACAGTCATATAGTCATAAGTGGAAGGAGATGGGTGATGGGAACGATGAGAAGATGAGAAGATTAATAGTAGTGCAGACTTAGTAAATAGTTTGACAGTGTTGAGGGAATTATTTGTTTAGCAGAGTGATGGCGTTCGGGAAAAAACTGTTCTTGTGTCTAGTTGTTCTGGTGTGCAGTGCTCTGTAGCGTCTCTATACATACATATATACATAGATATATACATAGATATATACATACATACATACATACATACATACATACATAGTAATGGTATCTTCTTGTATTTTTCTCCCCATCTGGTTTCAGTTCTGCCACTTTGCCTATCACTTTTAAGTGTTTGGAAGAGAACAATGGGGTAGACAAACGCATTACAAGATTTGTACTGCCTGTGGGTGCAACTATTAATATGGATGGGACAGCTTTGTATGAAGCCCTGGCTGCAATTTTCATTGCACAGGTGAACAATATGGATCTAAACTTTGGGCAAATTATCACAATCAGGTTTGTAAACCCTGCAAAAATACATATCCTTGTATACCTATGCAAGGCAACAAAGCTAGAAAAGTCGGAATGAGGGGCATTTCTGAGTGGAATGCATGGTAACACAGGGGGACAGGACAATGATAAAGTAGGAGGTCATGAACAATTCAGAAATCACAGAATATTTCATTGTTTGCAATGCAAATTATAATATCAAAACCTAATCCAGATTGAGACAGCTACATAGACTGCAGGTCTTCTTCATATTGTGCTAGTTATTGTTTTTAGAGTAATATAGGAGGGAGGGAGGGAGGGAGGGAGGGAGGGAGGGAGGGAGGAAGGAAGGAAGGAAGGAAGGAAGGAAGGAAGGAAGGAAGGAAGGAAGGAAGGAAGGAAGGATCTAAGACATCTGGAAAATGCCAGCTTGGTGAAGACTGGTCTAACTCATGAAGCTGAATACACTGTTGAGAATTTATTTATTTGTTTGTTTGTTTGTTTGTTTGTTTATCAAATTTATATACCGCCCTACTCCCGGGGGACTCAGGGCAGTGAACAGCCAAGATAAAATACAGATAATACAAACATTAAAAGTCCATTAAAATTATTAAATATTTTGGCCGAAAACAAATTTAAAACACCCAATTTGTAAAACAGATTAAACGATTTAAAAATTTAAAAGGGAGATTTAGGCCAGGCCAGCCTGCTGAAATAAAAATGTTTTGAGAGCACGACGAAACGTGCGCAGATCCGGGATCCTCCGTATCTCCGGGGGGAGCTTGTTCCAGATGGCAGGTGCCCCCACAGAGAAGGCTCTCCCCCTGGGGGCCGCCAGTCGACACTGTTTGGCCGACGGCACCCTGAGAAGCCCCTCCCTATGGGAGCATACTGGTCGGTGAAAGGCTATTGATAGCAGAATTGGTCTCGTAAATACCCCGGTCCAATGCCATGGAGCGCTCTAAATGCCTTATCTAGTTAAAGCACCAAATTTGCTTGTAAGAGAAATGAAAGGGGAAAGACTTTTGATCATGCAAACTAGCAACTGATTCCAACCAGACTCATGAACTTCTAGCCAACAACTTCTTCAAGGCTGAAAGAGATTTATGAGATAAGGACAGGTTTTAAAAAATGAAAATGGCAGTATGATTGGTTTTATATCTCTTTCCTTGTAACAGTATTACCGCAACGGCTGCCAGCATTGGTGCAGCAGGAATTCCTCAAGCTGGTCTGGTCACGATGGTGATTGTATTAACCTCTGTTGGTTTACCTACAGATGACATAACACTTATCATTGCAGTGGATTGGTTTCTGTGAGTATTTTTCTATACGAAGTAGACTAAAGACACGAGTGGAAACCAAATTTATCAGTCATTGTAGTTCCTTTCCTGAAGAAATGTATTGGGTCTCTTTGAAACAATACTCGGTTACGTTGCATACCAATGTCAAACTGTCATCTTATATAAAAAGAAGGGTAGAATAGGATACCGATTTGGATTTTTTGGGCAGAGATATGAAAGTTATTCAGTCTCTGTTCACCTTCCAAGCTGTAGTTTTTAAAAAGATGCATTATTCAGTCTCGTCAGCAACCGTATTTTCAACATGCAAATCTTAATTTCCCTGTTATTTGTTTCTTAATGAACCCTTTCAAATGCTGCAGCTTGCGGCCACTTAGTTTGAATCTCCTTGTGCGAGAAGGAAGAAGCCCAAAAGAAAATATGAATGTTACAAAACACCTACGTGCTGTTCCTTCTTGGAACTGATATTTAATTTTTAAATATGGTTCTTATTTCGTTTCACTATTTATTTTTTTCCCCATCAGTCTAGTATCATTTTCTCTTTACTACTGTGCAAATATTGAAGCACATGTTATTATATTGCTGATGTAATTTTAAGGAAAGAAAGTGGACTTGTCTTATATCTTCTAGTGAAAACTTTCATTGTGTTGGTAAACAGAGTAACAGTAACAGAATTGGAAGGGACCTTGGAGGTCATGGTTTACTTAATTTGCAACGTGTTCCCTAGGGATCGTCTGCGCACTACTACCAACGTTTTGGGAGACTCCATTGGTGCAGGAATTGTCGAACACTTATCCCGCCATGAGTTACGGAACAAGGATGCTGAAATGGGCAACTCCGTGATTGAGGAGAATGAAATGAAGAAGCCTTACCAGCTGATTTCACAAGAGAATGAGAATGAAAAGCCCTCAGACAGTGAAACCAAGATGTAAGGTAGAGGAAAGCTGACACAAAGCACTAGAGATATGGAAAATGTACACTTTCTTTGGTCCTTCTGCTTGTTCCTCATTTCTTCTTGTACTCTCAAAGCACTGAAAAGGTTTAAGGATGAACTAGATATTACGGGAGACATAGAGTGTGTGACATGCCTCCTCTGTCTTGTGATAGCTAGGTTAGAGCAATGAACAACAGCAGGCTGTTGCTCCATATGCCTCACCTTGTTCCTTCCAGTAAGGAAGGCCAGAGAAGGGCAAAGCAAAACACAGTATTGCCATGTCTTATATTGTGTTTACCTAGACATACTTTCCCTGGCCTAATGCCTTCCTGATGTGAGACTACAACTCCCAGAATTCCATGCAGCAGACATGCTGGTTAGAATTCTGGAAGTCATAATCCACTACATTTGTGGGACATCTGGCTGGAGAAGGCTGCACAATTTGTGCAGGAGAAAATAGGGATGAGCTGAGCTGAGCGTTTTTCAAAATTGGTGAAAAAATATTCCAAATTCATGGCTGCAGGCCGTTAAAAAAAATAATAGGCATTACACAAAGTGATTTGCAACATTTTAATGGGTGGTAAATATTTTATCAAATTAGCAAGCTTATTCGAGAAAATATATATATATATATTTCCTTATCCTGTTAATGTGATCTCATTTAATATAAGCTGAAACAGCAAAACAGAAGAAATCCTGAAAGAGGCCTTAGCATTTTGTTCAAATGCTACATGTTCTTAGCACCATCAAGTCAACCTTTTGACATTTCATGCTATTCCTAGAGAAATTAATAGCAAATTTTGATTTCTTTTTTTAAAAAGATAGTGTTACCTTATTTCATTGCTGTTAGAACAGCACAAGTACGAATACATTTTTTCCCCTAAAGGATGAAATAAGTGAATAGTATTTCCCACAGGTCATTATATTTATGAATTAAGCAAAAACTACTAATCATGTGTTCATTTCTAACCAATGGGATAATTTAGTATCAGAAAGAGGCTTGTGCTTCTTGGTACTGTGCACCTTCAAATCCCATTGATTTTGTATATCACAAACCTGCAAATACCTCTGTGTATGTGTAACATTATGACTCTCTTTTAGATGATAGTATTTAGCACAAATACTGCTACTCATACACACTGTTTTTTTTTCCAGGATCAGAGATCAAATGCACACACATTAAAAACATATGCACTTTGGAACAGGAAATTTATCTTATAGTTGCTTCATTCCTATGGACATATTGAATTATTGCTACCACAGCAATTGTGATGTCATTATTTGATCAAACAACTGTAAATATTCTGCTGATTTAATCTAGTGAGGCTTAGATAAATTATAACCCACCAATCATATATAGTTTTCAGAAAGTAACTGCTTTTGCCTCCTACAGAAACTGTTAATATGGTGGGATTATAAACAGTTAGGCTCCAGGAAGATTACCATGGTTCATAAATTGTCCTGCCTTAAATCTCAATTTACCACTGAGTTTTCAATGGGAATTGAGATCCTCGCTGATTTATATCCATATGGCATTTCCAATCAATCATGGGAATTATAGTTTAGTCTGATATTAAGAATCCTGTTGAAAATCCTTAGCCTACACACAAACAAAGACAGATACACATACACCCAACTTAAATTTCCATGAAAGAGAAACCAACTTTAAGCCAATTAGAATTTTTGGCAAAGATTTAATCTAACAGTTCATCATCACCATTGCAACTTTGCTGAAACATCCATTGAATTTAGCAACCTAAAGACCAAGATATGAATTCTAAAACACCCATATTTTAAAAACAACCCAAATGAAATAAAAAAACCCTTGTTTCCAGGCAGACTTTGCTGGATTTTATGCACAATGCTAAGCCATCATCATACAGATGAGCAAAAAGATCTCAAAACAAAGAGGTAGCTGACATAGAGGTGATCTGCTATGATCAAACTAAGAAATAAATTGGGATTTTGTTTCTCTTAGCAGCTTGCTTGTTATATACAGTAGGAACTAAAGATTGCAGCTGAAAAGAAACTTACTATAACCTAGCAAAAAAACGAGGGTTTGCTGTGATATAGTTTATTTAATAATAGATTGCAGATTATTTTAAACCACAATTCTTGACTGCACATTAAGGCAAGCCACCAGGAATCTGCTATTGAAAGAAAATTGGGTTTGGTTTGTCCTTCCTTGTTGCGTAGGAATGGCTTTCCCCAAAGTTCTTTCTACTAGTGATATAGTCCTTGACTTACGACCAAAATTGAGGCCAAAATTTATCTTCATAAGTGAGAATTTGGTTGAGTGATTTTTGCCCCATTTTATGACTTTTCTGGTCACCGTGGTTAAGTGAGTCACTGCCGTTGTCAATTTAGTAACATGGTTGTTAAGTGAATCTGGCTTTCCCATTGACTTTGCTTATCAAAAGGTGATCACATGACCCTGGGACACTGGAACTGTCATAAATATGAACTAGTTGCCAAGCATCCAAATTTTGATCACGTGACCATGGAGATGCTGTAAGGGTTGTGTGAAAAATGGTCATATGTCACTTTTTTCAGTGCCGTTGTAACTTGGAACGGTCATTAAATGAATGGTTGTAAGTCGAGGACTACCTGTACTAGTTTGTGATTTATACTGTCTGCAACTATAGCTAGGATGAGTTTAAATTAAACTTCAGCAGCTAAATTGTCTGCCAATCCCTGTTTTTAACTCTCCAGTACAGGATGTCAAACTCAAGGCCTGCGGGCCGGATCCAGCCCGCAGCGTGCTTAGATCTGGCCTGCGAGCCCGTCCTGGAAACAGCAATAGACTGGCCCGCGGTGCCTCTGCCAGCGAAAACAGAGCTCGGGGGGGGCACACGCATGCCTCCTGGGCTCCGTTTCCAGCCACGTCAGCCTCCTGCAGCCCTCTGCCAGTGAAATGGAGCTTGGGATGACTGCAGGCGGCCTGCCCGGGGTCCGTTTTCACTGGCAAAAGGCTGCAGGTGGCTGTCATGGCCGGAAGTGGAACCTCGATGAGTGATGTCAATCTGGTTACGCCCACCCCGGCCACGCTCACACCCCCCCCCAAGGTCAAACACAACCCTGATGCGGCCCACAATGAAAGTGAGTTTGACACCCTTGCTCTAGCAGGAAAGATTTTAGAATCTCTTGACACCATGTTAAGTATGAGTATACAGACGGAACTCTAGATAGCAATGCCTACAAAGCATGTGTCAATTTGTGCTTTCGTAATGAAACTACAGAGCCAAAAATGCTTTCAGGAAGGGGAATCTTCCAAAATTTGGTTAAATGGATTTTTTAAAAAAAATAACTGGTTTAAAGACTAAACTTTCTATTCCACTACCACTTTCTCTATGTTAGCAGCATCCATCTGATAGACCCTGCTAACACAGAGGGGAGATAACTTTGTATAAAAATAATACTAACGTGGTGCTTGATTATTTTTTAAGAAAAAGAGTATATAAAGAGAATAATGAAAACATTTAATAAATATTGAAAATATAAAAGACTTTTTTTAAAAAGAGGTCTTCGGGACTAAGAAAGGACAGTTTTTTTAAAAAAAAATTGGCATGAGATTGTGATTTTTGTCCATTTGAAGCTTGCTGTTTCCCAGAGCCCGTTTATTTTTTAAAAAATGAGATTTTTAAATTATATTTTACATGCGTGGTCACAGGAGACAGGAAGGAAAGCTTTATGCAAGCAGAATAATCTCTGCAATGGGATGCTTGAAGGAAACCTTTGTGACCCGTTACATTCCATATGTGTGGGACTCCTAAACCATTATTCCCTTTTCTGCTAGTCAGGAATAATGGGAGACTCCCACATTTGAAAGAGTTTGATTTCATACGATGGTGTAAATATAAACATACATTGGTTGTATAGTTGTTGGAAAAGTATTTTAATAGCATTTTTCTAAAATAGGGCTGAGTTATTCCTTATAGCTGCCAATCTGATACAGTGTTTCCCCGAAAATAAGACCCTGTTTTATATTTTTTTGAACCCCAAAATAAGCACTTGGCCTTATTTTCAGGGAGGTCTTATTATTTTGGGGCGTGTGGAGCAAGACGGGGCTCCTCCTGCCGTCTTACCTGATTTCCAGCTCTGTCTCCCTAACCCTAACCAGAGGAAATGGCGGGGACTGTCTGCGCATGCATTTAAATCTTTTTGGGGAGGGCTTATTTTCAGTAAGGGCTTTATTTTCGGGGGGGCTTATTTTAGTGCATGTGCTCAAAAGCCCAATCGGTCTTATTATCCGGGGAGGTCTTATTTTAGGTCTTATTTTCGGGGAAACACGGTATTTCAAGGTTCATTCATTTGTTCCCAAGATTGTAAGACTACCGAAAGCTACAAGATGTGTTTCATCCTGGCTAATTCTCAGAATTCTGCAGTTATGCCCTGATTTTTTTTTTTATTGTTATTGTTACAAAATGGTTATTTCACATAAAAATTGATATGATCCAATCTAAGCTAAGATAGCTAGCCATTGTCTGATGAAACAAAAGACATTTTCAAGGTTCAGTCTCACAATTCGATTCAGAGCCACCAAGCATTACAGACAAATCTAGGCAGATTAAAAGAGTGATGCTTTGCAATAGAATTCTCGGATTCAGTATTGAAATCTTAAGTAAACTGCTGGTCTGGAGAGAAACATTTAGTTTTTTTGAGTTTTGACTATCAAATGTGGGAATGATATTTCTATTTAATCCAGGCTTATAGCAGACCAACTCATTTTCCATCAGCTGCTGCTCAGAGTTTACAATAGACCTTTTCTATCCATCCCCTCTCCCAGAGGTGGTATTTAGGCAGTTCGGTTCGGGCGAACCGGTACCAGCCTGGATATAATCCCATCCTATTTAGCCACATTTACTAAGCTGGGCGCATGCACGTGTGAGCAAAGAGCATGCACAGTGGTGGCTTGTGCAAGCGTAGCGAGAGAGAGAGCTCTGTCACATTTGTGAACTGGTAGGGAAGGTAAGTGAATCCCACATCTGCCCTCTCCCCTTTATAAACCAGTATAGTAAACACTATACTATACTAATTTATAAAGGGGAATAGGCTCCCTTGCGCTTTTCTAATCTCTCAGTTTCTATTCCTTTTGCCTACTCGTGGAATAATTCCCAACGGTAGTAGTTTACAAATGAACAGTATGTTCATTTCTGGCTAGCGAAGAGTCTTTCCTCACTACTCAGTAGGTTTAACATAAGCGAGGCCTGCCTTATCTGGCCTGTGAAAACCAGACAATCACAAGACAGTAGCAAAGAGTTGGAATTTTATATACCTCTTCATTTTCAATTGTGGGTTTTTATAACCCAGATCCAGTAATCTTAATATGAACCACAAACCACTCACAAGCCCTGTATTTCCACTGGATGCCTCCTGTCATGTTCCAGGCCAGGGATGGGCGATTAATTTTCCCAAGGGGCCACATGAGAAACTGGGACTAACCAAAAGGCCTGTGGAAGAGTCTATCCAATAGGCCTGTGAAAGTGCGTAGGCATGCATGCACGCAAAAAAATAGCCGCCACCCTCAAAATAAAAGCAATGAAGTTGTATTGCGTGCTTGGCATATACTTATTTACATTTGATTTGTAATTTCCCATTGATCTCATTTGGGCTGGACAGGGACAGCCAAAGGGCCAGATGTGGCCCAGAGGCCATAAAATGCCCAGATCTGTTCCAGGCTATATTACAAATGCAGAATGATAGACTCTAGCGATAATGCCCCATCCTAAATTGTTGCTCAGTGGCGCCTTTTGAGGGACATTGTCAAACTGATAACACATATAAAAAAAGCTGGCTTGAAGTTTCCGAAACACATTGAGGATTATCTTAAAAGTGTGACAGGTGTATAAAACCCCGCAAAGATTTAACATTTCAGATTGTTAAATGGGATTGCTTCCCCTTTGAAAAAGAATAGGAATGAACTCAGTGTGTCTGATGGTGTTTAAAGTAAATGCAAAGCTCTTATGTAATCTCTGACTGTACGCAGTAAATGGATGTGCCTTTTTTAATTATTTGTTTCTTGTTTGCGCTAACAAAAGGAAAACCTAGATTAGAGACAGGTGTTTTCTGAAATGTAACTAGAGATATTTTTATAGTGGTACTGTAATGTGTACAAAGTTAATATTAAATTGTATGGAATAACTTTTACTATGGTTTGCTTTTGAACGGATACTATTTTTTGGAAAAGGGTTGAAAAGATTTTCATGTAAAGAGCTATCATTCTGTGCTGTCACTTTAGGAGAAAATGGTATTACAAAGTGTGGCAGTTCTTTAACTTTATACTAACTCTGTTTCTTACAGAAATCATGAGCCATAGAATATTCTCTCTTTTGTGCCTATTCTGAGTTGGCAATTGATGCACCCAGGGTGTGGCTTGAGAAATATTACTTTGTAGGTGTATTTTCAATTAAAAAACAAATAGTTTTACATTATTTGTTTGGAAAAGTGTGGTCTTTTTCTCCTCAGTGAGTCTTGAGGTGTACTAGAATCTACACCAGGGGAGTCAAACTCAAAGCCCGGGGGCCATATCCTGCCCATGGGATGCTTAGATCTGGCCCATGGGGCCGCCCTGGAAACAGCGAAGGACTGGCCCGCAGTGCCTCTGCCAGTGAAAACGGAGCTCGGGAGGCCTGTGTGCGGCCCTTCCAAGCTCTGTTTTCATTGGCAGAGGGTTGCAGGAGGCCATCAGAGCCGAAAACGGAGCTCAGAAGCCCATTTTCTCTGGCACAGCTCTTGGGCCACCACAGACGCCCTCAACACGAGTGACGTTGAGCTGGCCACACCCATCCTGGCCACACCCACTCTGGCCCCCTGAGGTCAAACACAACCCTGATGCGGCCCTCAATGAAATTAAGTTTGACACCTCTGATCTACACACTTGCTCACACTTACAATAGCTATTCATTATACATGTTGGCCTCGGTCCTAAGAATGCTCACTCAGGCGTAAACCTGATTTCATCCAGGAAAGATAAAGGTAAGGATGCCCTTTGTCAACTGACTGCTACATTTTAACAAGTTTTTATTGGCAGAAATCATTTAGCACTGCATGGGGGTGAAATTCACTTACCTTTCCCTACCAGCTCGCAAATGTGAGCGTGCACGCCTCCTCCACGCATGCGCAGAGTCTTCTGCGTGTGCGCAGAGGGTCCAAAACAGGACATGATGATGTCCGGGTGGGTGGGTGGAGCCTCCCGCTACTGGCACTTCCAGATTGCGCGATCCAGATAGATCCAGCTGAATTTCACCCCTGGCACCGCAGTCTTCCAAGATGTTTTCTTTCAACTTCAGTATTACTCTCATCATAGCTGAAAAATAACTCTACAAAATCCAGATAGCAGAAAAGAGTTGCCTATGCCTGTACTGCAAAATATTATTTGTCCAGATTTTTGCAGCCAGATAAGAGACAAGACAAGGTGGAATAATGTGATATGGGTTAACTTACTCTGTTGTGTGATATCTGCCATTCCCCTTTCCATAGGCATACACAATCAAACACAATCTTATACTTGCACATCACAAAAAGAGAGTGAGCCAGTGTGCTAAACCAAGGTGAAGCAACTAACCATGATTTTACTCATGATTTAGTTGTTAGCTTACCTATAACCATGATCCGACATGTGTTCCAAACTTGAGGAGTTGATCTATCATTAATTTCTTCTTTCAGTGTCTGGACAGAATCAATAGCTGCAACTATTCCAGGTGCAGAAGTAGCTTCATTTCTCTGGTTCTATTTTGAAATCCTCAGGCATTGGTGGGCTGCAAGGAAATGGAAACCATGAGGGGTTATAGAAAGAGGAAACCCAAAGAGTGTACAAAGAGGCTGGTTTCATATGTCATGACTCCAGCTTGATTAAGTTAAGTTCATTCATGAAAGGGTGATATTGCCACTTCCCCAATCACCAACCATGAAGTTGGCATAGATTCTGGAATGGCCCAAAACTGCAGCTGAACATGAGTTGTTATGTCATCTGGCATGGAGCTAAGAATAAATCTCTTAACTATGATTTATACTACGTTTGACATGTAAACATGCCTTAAAATGCATTTACTGTGTTATAGGAATCGCAATAGCACTTATTTATATACCACTTCACAGTACTTTACAGCCCTCTCTAAGCGATGTGAGTCAGCACATTGCCCACAACAATCTGGATCCTCATTTTACCCACCTCGGAAGGACGGAAGGCTGAGTCAACCTTGAGCCTGGTGAGATTTGATCAGCCAAACTGCTGGCAGCCGGTGATCAGCAGAAGTAGCCTGCAGTACTGTACTCTAACCACTGCACCACCGCGGTTAGCCTGGGAAAATGCCTCCCATATATATATTATATTGAAAGGAACGTCTTGCCTTCTATTAGCACAAAACCCTATTTCTCACCATAATCCAGAATAATAATGCTCTATTTTCATTCCAATATTTTATCAGAGACCACATAGGAAAAGGTCTAGATTTTATAGATTGCGCTACAAAAATCCTGATGACCACTAGGTGGCAACAACAATGCAGAAAGTGCTAGCTCTTTGCTGTCATCTAATAATCATTTGAATAGCTGCAGGCCAGGTATGGCAACCCTACGATAAGATCTTCAGTCAGTCCATATGACAAGCTTTTCCACCCAGAGTTCTTTGGAAAATGACTTCCTCCCAAGTTATGTATCAGCGAGCATAATGCAATTATTCTACCTATATGCAGTCAGTGAAATGTCTGAGTTGAATCTGATCTTGGTGATAACATCCTTACTGTTTTTTTAAAAAGTGTTTTGCTACTTTCTGCTTCCAGGTTAATTTTTCACATCTAGCTTGATGGTGATGAAATATAAACTTAGTTGCTCACTTTTACAGAATATTAATATCTCAAACTTTATTAGCTATTAGGAAATACTAAATTAGTTAAGTACTAACAATATTATTAACTATGGTATCAAAGCATCTGCAGTATTGTATTCTAATAAAGCAGAGAGATGTGTCCAGATATATTGGATTACAACAAATGTCATTTTTTCTGGCTGGAATTCTATATTGCCATCACATCACATTTGAAAGAAATAATAAAGTAGTTCCCTTAAGAATAGCGAAAGACAACTTACAAGATCATCTGCTATTTGCCTATTTGGAAGAATAGAGAACTCCTCCTAGAATCCTAGAATGACTCCTGGAGTCCATAAATTATAACATTCTGTTTTTTCAACTTTATTGCCAGATAGCATATATTCACTGTATTTTCAGAAGTACTGAATCCTGTTCATCCAACTTGCCTTCTTACAAAATAGCAATAGCACTTAGATTTATATACTGCTTCACCGTGCTTTACAGCCCTTTCTAAGATGTTTACAGAGTCAGCGTATTGCCCCCAACAATCTGGATCCTCATTTTACTGACCTTGGAAGGATGGAAGGATGAATCAACCTTGAGCCGTTCAAAATCGAACTCCTAGTAGTGAGCAATGAGTTAGCCTGCAGTACTGCATTCTAACCACTGCCCCATGCCACCATGAGCACTATAAAGGTAAAGGTTCCCCTCACACATATGTGTTAGTCGTTCCTGACTCTAGGGGGCAGTGCTCATCTCCATTTCAAAGCCGAAGAGCCAGCGTTGTCCGAAGACGTCTCCATGATCATGTGGTCAGCATGACTAAATACCAAAGGCGCATGGAATGCCGTTACCTTCCCATCAAAGGTCTCTATTTTTCTACTTGCATTTTTTACGTGCTTTTGAACTGCTAGGTTGGCAGAAGCTGGGACAAGTAAAGGGAGCTCACCCCATTACACGGCACTAGAGATTCGAACCACTGAACTGCTGACATTTCAATCGACAAGCTCAGCATCTTAGCCACTGAGCCACAGCGTCCCTTCTGGGCGCTATAGGAAGTAGCTATTATTCCTATAAGTTTCAGACCTTTTTATGGCACAAGGAAATGCAAATTCAAAGGAAATGATTTCAGTGGGACATATTCTGAAGTAGATTTTCATACAGGGAAACATATATAGGAATTGATGGTAAGTCGTTGCAGTACAGACAGGTTCGTAGCAGCTTAAATCAGAACTGAGCCAACAATTCAGCGTTCTAAATGAAGAACATCATAAACTCTTTGTTGTTCTACACCCCCTACCAGCAATAAAATAATTTTATTCATATTGGCTGCATTCACTCAACACATTGAACCCAGTTGTTGAGACAACCCATTTTCTGGATTCATAAAATACACTGAAACATAAAGGCTGAAGTTGCACCACATCCTGAGGCACAAAAATCAAGGTTAGCATTAATCAAACATATCGTGCAAATCCAACTGCTGGATCTTTGTCTTATTTCCCTAAGTGTGTTGCCTTTTTTTCCCTGTCTTTATTTTATATGCCACTCTAATCTTCAAAGTCTGGTGTTCATTATACAATAAGTATTGAGTTCATTTACTTTCTCCAAGCTCGTTTCATTCACTTCATATTAGAATTGTATTGTTTGTGATTCCACAATCGCTTTTGCAGTGGTGGGATTCAAGTAATTCAACAACCGGTTCTCTGCCCTAATAATTTCTTCCAACAACCAGTTTGCCAAACTGCTCAGAAAGTTGACAACCGGTTCTCCCGAAGTGGTGCGAACTGGCTGAATCCCACCACTGCACTTTTCCCAGAAAAGTTGAAAGAAAAATATAGAGAGTTTAAACTGGGCAGAGAATGGAACTTATGCATCGGGCTGTCTCCTCCCCAACCTGCTTCTGTGCATCCGGAGAACAGAACCAACATGAATTCTTCCTATCGCTTGCAAGTAACTCCTGCTGTTTCTCAGCTGCCAAGGAAACTGGAGAGAAAACTAAAATTCCGGGACTTGAATCTTTATTGTGTCAGCAGATGTGTTGAATACAGGCACTGTCCTATATATATATATATATATATCCCACTCCAGGGGAAGGATACTGTAAAATCTCCATTCCCTCCCCACTCCAGGGGAAGGTTACTGTAAAATCCCCATTTCTTCCCGATCAGCTGGGACTCGGGAGGCAGCGAATAGATGGGGGCGGGGCCAGTCAGAGGTGGTATTTGCCGGTTCTCCGAACTACTCAAAATTTCCGCTACTGGTTCTCCAGAAGCTGCTGAAACCCACCTCTGCCAAGGACTGAACTTTCTACATCAAACCTAAGAATTAATTTTGCCAACACTGAGTGTGATGGAACATGTTTCAACGTAGTTCCATTAAAGAACATGTGATGCTTTTACCATTTTAGATGAATCAGAGCAGGGCATCTTTTGACAAGGAATACTATTAAAGTGGTTGCCTAAATTATCCTTTAAATGTAATATAAAAAATTAGATTAGTTGTAATATACACCTTTTTAATTGTCTCACTACAAGAGAGGCACATCCCCATTAAACAGATTAAAATTTTTAAATCATTTGTGGCAAGTGGAAACTCCCTAATTGTTTTGTGCTCAAAATT